AGATCTCTGGAGAGACAGCCTCCTCCACTGTGAATGCTGGGTCACTGTCTGATTTATCAAATCTTGCAAATGCAAGCCTGTATGGTTTTGAGGATTACCATGGGGTTGACCTTGGTGTTGTTAGAGCTGTCCGGCTCTGGTATGCTCCTCTTGGAGGAGAGTTTGCAATTGAGATCAAATTAAAAGAAGAAGATTCAAAGCTTGGATTTGCCATTAGTCGTACCGAAGAGGTATGCTGTCCGATTTTCCAAGCACTAGCCGAACTGCATTGTATATAAAAAACCACTCTAACCTTTTCAAGGCGATTGCTCATCATTCTAGTTAACTTACAGGGATTTATCTATATTTCATCAGTCATCGATGATGATGAGAATGCACCCTCCACAAGGTCAGGACTCAGCATTCTCTACAAAGAAGCAACCAATTCATCTAGGCTACTAGTGGTCTCGCGAGTATCAAACCAGAAGGTTCTTCCCTGGATGGTTTCATCAAAAGGAGCGATTAGATGTTTCGACACTGTTTCCCTTAGCCAGAAGCTGTCATTGCACCGGCACGCCAAAGTCCCTATACTCATTCATGTCTTCTTATGGGACCAATCTTTAGTTTCCACATCAGGGAGCCCTTTCAGGTTAAGAACTACATCCCCACCTGCAATGCCATTGCCTCCCGAAGTTCGACTGGCACGCCAACCTAATGACAACCAAATTCAGCCTGTGTCACCTGAGGTTTTACATAATCCTGTGTCACCTGAAGCTTTAGATGACCGTAACTATGGTGGATTAAGTTACGGGCAAGAGCTTATAATTGATAGAGATACAGCTGGGGATGCCTCCTTCAGATTCCATGATTTTGCACTTCCAAACAATTGGGTTTGATACCTCATTTCTGATTTATGTCCTTATCCTGGTTCTCTGTTGGTTGTTGTACAAATGTATCAGTAGGCATTGCTTAATTTGCTTTTGTATTGGGCAAATCAATCATTCATATAGTCTTATATAATAATTTTAGAATAAAGGGGCGTTTAGATCATATAATGTTTTATTATAAGGAGATATTATATTAACAAAATGAAAAATCATCTTGAAGATTACTGTGAATGTTTAGAAAACGTGTTTGGTTGGTTCGAATAAATTAGTGAATAATATGTTTGGTTGGGAGGATAAATGGGTGAGTATATTATATAAATTATTAAATTATCCTCCTTTTTAAATATTAATATAATAATATTTTTTATTATTATTTTTTGAGTAATTAACTTTTAACCCCCAACTTTTCAAATTTAGCAAAAACACTTTAACAATAAAAAATGTTTTAAACTTAACAAAAGCACCCCTACCCACCCCAAGCCACTACCGGCAGCCAGTCACCACAGTCGGCAGTTGTCAACAGTGCCATAGATTTGGCTATGGTTGTTACACGGTCAAAGATGTGGTCGTGAATCGACCAGATCTAGTCGTTTCCAACTAGGGGTGGAACAAATGGGCCGGGTTAGACGGGTCAACCCTAACCCGGCCCGCATTAAAGAGGGTTGAACCCGACCCACATGCAACCCTCGGGCGGGTCGGGTTGTTATATGGCAACCCGGTGACCCGATGGGTTGCTTTTCTGTTTTTTTCAAAAAACCCGGCGGGTTGTTAATGTGGAAACTGTGTGTAAATTCCTAGCAACGCGTGAAAGAATCTCTTTGGGAAATTGTCTGTTAAAGTGACCAAAAAGTGCATGAATTCAAAAAAACTCACATGTGGCATACTGACATGTTATCAGGCTTAATGAGAGTATGAGACACAACCTCTTAAATTAATGACATTTTGACACGTAACCAACATGATAACAGGTGACACAAAAAATTCATGTCTCACAGGTTGAAAAGTGTCTTAAATCTTTGCCTTCTGAAATTTTTTAAATAAATAAACTACCATAAAAGGAAAAAAGTAATTATTGTTATTAAATGAAATTAATTATCACATATAATAACTAAATGACAATTAAAACTAAATATATATAGTTATGGAGTGGAAATAAATGGTTGTCATTAAAATTTATTACAGAATCTGCATCTATGAAAAAGATTTATGTAGATAATTCTGGGAAATTCTTTGATTGATAAAAAAATTAGGTTGGGTTTGATTTATGATTTAAAAATAAATTTCAAAAGCTAAAATATTTTTCAATTTTTTAGTTTTATTACAATATTTTTGTTATTTGAAAACGTGGTTGATATTATATTTTCAAAATGTTTTCACATTAAAAAATTATAGTAAACTTTAAACACTGCTTTTAATATTAAAAGATAAAAATGTATTAAAAAGGGGGGGGGGGGGGGGGGGCGCTAATCCGGCCCGACCCGCAGCCTAACCTGTCGGGTTACGGTTGGCGGGCCGGCTTGGGCCAGCCAACCCTAACAAGTGGCTGGCCTAACCCGGCTTGCATTTGTTGGCGGGCTAGGTTAGGCTTGACCCGCCAAAGGCCCGCAGCGAACCCTTCAAAGCCCCAAACCTGCCGCGGGCCAAGTCGGGCGGGTTACTTTTCCAACATTATTTCCAACTATAGATTTGCAATCCATTGTTGGAAAAGGCCTCACCGGCGCATAGCCGATCATATACGGTTGGTCGTATGCCATTATTACGACTTTTGGCAGCCTCCGGCGGTGGTGGGTAGTTCTAGGTATAATGACAGTAACAAGGGCAATCTCGTCCGAAAAATTTAAAAAGTGAGGACAAAAGGGTTTGCATATTGAATTGGGTGTTTTGTAAATTTTAACAAATATAAAGCTAATTTAAACCAAACGCTCAACTATTTAGGGGCAATATGGGAAACAAAATTGTATTACCATGGGTAGTTTTAAAATAGCCCCCCCAGGTATTAAGATTCCAGACAATATACCCCCCAAATGCCACTGTTTGTCAGAAAAGATTTTGGGAATAGTTTTTTACAAACCAACCAAACATTGTCATTTGCTTAATTTAAAAAATATTATACCAGTTATCTAATATTAACCTCATTTAAACGGGCTCTTAGATATTTATATACTAATATAATAGAGTGCAAAATCACTACAAAATTTGTGTACATGTAGGGGTCGTTTGGATGGGGTTAATATTAGATAACTGAGGTAATATTTTTTAAATTGAGCTGATGACAATGTTTGGTTGGCTTGTAAAAAATTATTCCCATAATATTTTATGACAAACAGTAGCATTTGGGGGGTATATTGCTGGGAATCTTAATACCTTGGGGGGGCTGTTTTAAAACTTATCCCTAGTAATACAATTTTGTTTCCCATGTTGCCCCTAAACAGTTGAGCATTTAGTCCAAATTAACCTTATATTTGTTAACATTTACAAAACATCAAATTCACTTATGCAGACACTTTTGCCCTTACTTTTTAAATTTTTTGGACGATATTGCCCTTGTTATTGTCATTATTTATAGAAATGCCATTATACCTAAAACTAGCCACCACCGTCGACCGCTGTCGGAGGCTGCCAAAAGTCACCCTAATGAAGTATGACCGATCGTATATGGCTAGTCATGTGCCGGTGAGACTTTTTTTGACCATGGATCATAGATTCATGGTCGAAAAAGGTCAGATCTGGTTGTTTCATGTGCAGATCTATAGTAGTGAAACGACCAGGTCTTTGACTTTGAAATAGTCGGCGTTTCACGAACACATCTTTGGCAGTGAAACGGCTCGATCTATGGCACTGCCGGCGTCACGGCTAGATCCAGCGGCCGCCAGCAGTGGCTTGAGGTGGGTAGAGGTGTTTTTGTTAAGTTTAAAACGTTTTTTGTTGCTAGGGTGTTTTTGCTAAATCTGAAAAGTTGGGGGTTAAAAGAAATCATTCAAAAAATAATAATAAAAAATACCGTTATATTAATATTTAAAAACGAGGGCAATTTAGTAATCTATATAACATTCTCACCCATTTATCCTCTCAACTAAACATATTATTCATCAATTTATTCGAACCAATCAAAAACATTTTCTAAATATTTTCAGTAATCTTCAAAGTGATTTTTTATTCCGTTAATATATTATCCCTCTATAATAAAATTATATGATTCAAACGCCCCCGTAACGATAAATGTGTGATAGAGTGGTGTTTTTTTTTTTTTTTCTTCTTCTAATCTTTTTGGTTGTTTTTATTATAATGCCTTTATAGTTCCACAACATAATTAAATATTTAAGGGGAGATATTTTTTTTAACTTAAATTGAGACAATTTTTCAACCATTGATATTTTGTAATCAAATGGATGTGAAAAAGAGTTTTGAGATAGTTATTTTCTTTACTGTCCCAGTAATTCTTAGACCATTGGATTGTATTAAATCTATAACTGAAAATTTGTGTCTCAATCTAAATTGAAAAATCCCATACCTTTTAAGTATTGAATTATTACAATCCAGCACAAATTTTATCGATTGAAATGCAACAAAACATCTATAAAATGATAAATTTATCAAGGTTATATATTTTCCATAAATTAATTATTTGCTTACAAAAATTTCAAAGTGTTTATATTATTCCAAATAATTAATATTAAAAGAAATTATAACTTATGAAAGAGAGACCCAGAATCCGCCGTTTATGGGAAAAATCTCTTAAAATTGCAACCGTTGATTATACCACCAATCGACGGTCCAAAGCTCGTCCTTCTTTGAAAAAAAAGGTTTTTTCAAATTTCCGCATCAGCTAAATTATCATTGGTTCTTTCAAATACACGCGGATCACGATCCTTATTGTCAACTTTAAACAATCTCAAGCGTCCATGTCCTTCCAAATCTACGTTCCAGATTCAACCAAAACTCTTAAGGCCCATTGGGTAATTCTTATGTCACGTGGATCGCCAGCTAGTCAGCTTCAATCATTATCACGCGTCGATTAGCTACAAATCTACGGTTTAAATTCACCCATTCGAAACTTGCAAACACGCTCAAAAATTTCAAAATTCCCTCCTGCTCCTCCATATTTTGCTTATAAAACCCTCCAATTACTTTCCCTTCTCGTCACCACTACGAAATTTACGTTCATATTCTCGAGAAACAAACACACATTTTCAATCGCAAATCAAGGAAATGGCTCGTACAAAGCAAACAGCAAGGAAGTCCACCGGAGGCAAGGCGCCACGTAAGCAGCTGGCCACGAAGGCTGCTCGCAAGTCAGCTCCAGCGACCGGAGGAGTGAAGAAGCCTCACCGTTTCAGGCCTGGAACTGTAGCCTTGAGAGAGATCAGAAAGTACCAGAAGAGCACAGAGCTTTTGATCCGCAAGCTTCCATTTCAGAGACTTGTGAGAGAAATCGCTCAGGATTTCAAAACTGATCTAAGGTTCCAAAGTAGCGCCGTCGCGGCTCTTCAAGAGGCCGCTGAGGCCTATCTCGTTGGTCTCTTTGAGGACACAAATCTCTGTGCAATTCACGCAAAGAGAGTCACTATTATGCCTAAAGATATTCAACTCGCTAGGAGGATTAGAGGTGAGAGAGCTTAGAGAAATGTTCTGTATTGAATCAGTTTGATAGAGATTTAGAAGGTCTGAATCTGTGCTCATTGCTTGGGTTTCCAATTTTTAATTCTGACTTTGTAAATCTTTTCGAATTTAATGAAAAATATGGATTTCTTTATCAAATTTGTTCAGCCTTTAATCTGAAAATGAGCCTTGGATTTGTCACAGATTTAAATCTGGGTTTTATTTGACATGTTGTGATCTCATTAATCAAACATTTACACAGGGTTGATGTAAAATATTGAATTGATTCCATTGGTGTAAAGTAAAGGTTGCTATGAAGATCTGAAATAAGATTTTGCTAAACTTAAAGATGATTAAGAGCAAATGAACCAAACTTATTGTCATCAATCATCATCCCTAACATTGTCTGTACTGTGTAATTGGGGTCTTGGAAACACCAACTGTTTATTCGTGCAGGAAGATGAGCTTTCACAATTTGAGTAGTCTTCAGCACATTGCCATTTAAGGAGTATACAAAACAGGTACTGGAATTTATTGGAAGATAATACACAGTTACTTCTTCCTCCCCATTTAGCTGTATTGCTTAACCTCAATCTCTTCTGATCAATAAACACAGCTTCATCACTCAGGTTGTTCACTCTAACCCATTCGACCCTCGAAAAGTCTGCGTATTCTCCTCCAGGAGATTAAAGTAGACTATCAAAAGCTGTTCATTGCAAGCGACGAACCTAATTCTTAGGTGCATTAAGTCACTGTCCAAAACACCACATCAGTAGATTTCAAGTTGAATTCCCCAATCTGAAAATCGCTAGTTATACCGAATATCTTGCTATAAAAAACAACTATATCCTCAATAAACCTAAGGTTCTGTGAAGTAGACTACTCTTTCCACCGCAAAAAATGTGGGTTAGTCAACCCAGTTCACGATCAGCCAATTTTTGCATAAACATAAACTCTAAATTTTCATAATAATTAAACAATTTTGTTAGAGAGAAAATGTAAGAAAACACACAGAGAGAATTATATTTCCTTCTTTTCAAATTACAATTTATATGGTGGGAAAATTAACATATATCCTTCCTAATCTAACACTTATTTGGGTTAAAAAATAAAAAGGTTTTGTGAAACTGAGCCGAACTAATCAAAGCCTCTTACATTATCTGCAGAAAAAAAATACCACGAGTACATCCGAGTTTTATCATCCCATCTCCATTTACGAATCGTTTTCACCTCGCCATTCTTCAAGGAGTGTATATGGCATCCATCGTTTAACAGCACATAAACGCAGTTGCTTTGTCCTCCCCACTTTGTTGGGTCGATTAACTTGCAGCTTATAATGCCCCCATCACCGACGCACACAGCATGTTGACCCAAATTATTCATCACAACCCATTCCATCTTCTTCACGTTTATTGAATAAACTTTAATCATGTTCACGTTAACATAATCTACGATCAGAATATTGTTATTTGAAGTCACCAACCTCACATTACTGCTCACACGAGGTGCAAATTTCAGTGTCAAAAACTTCAAATCAAAATTTCTAAGGTCAAGTATCCCAATCTGAGAATGGTTAGTTATAGCAAATATCCTGCCACAGAAAACAACCATATCCAAAATATGCCAATTCTTAAGTTTAAAAGAGTATTCTTTCCACTGGTTGTTTCTAGATGTATAAAATTCCAAGTTCTGGTTCCGACAAGAGAGAATCACTACAACAAAATCTTGATCTTGAGACCCAGTTGAAGCGAAAATGGCACGATCTGAACTAAATCGAATATTATCAGAAAGTTTGCGCACGCGAGAGAACTGGAATTGGCGTCCTGTAACAGGGTTTATTAGCCAAATTTTTTGACTCCAAGTATCTTTCATGATTAAATACCCACCAGAAACACCAAGACAAAATTTGAAGTCGCAAATAAAATTCGGAAGCATTGTCTTGTATTTGATTCCAGTGGCTATTTCGTGAAAACAGCACGCTTTCTTAGCTTGTGATGAGATGTGAATGACAAGAGGTGATTTTGATGCCATGAAACCGTCCTCGTACTCTGAATTAAATAATCTCCAACTTCTGCAAACTCTACCAATGCTGAGATAGTCTGCAATATTCAAGTTGCTAGAGATTATATTGAGAAGTTCCTCTCGAAGATCAGCCCATGGCCTCTGATTGTAGCAGATATTCATCTTTATCTTCTTCCTGATTGTCTTTGTTTCATTCTTCTCTATTTTCTGCTTTCTGAACGCCGCTAAGGGCCTGGTTTTGATCTTCCTCCCTCGTTTCTGCACTGTACCTGTACAATTTTTCATACCCATATTCAAGCTTTGGAAAAATATTATTGATTGTATGTTTATATATGGTTAAAGAAATTAAAAAGTAAACAAACTAATAGGAAATCATAATCAACTCAATTAAGTATTAAAAGCCTTTTAGTGTTGGACGTTAGTAACAAAATACAAATCCTTCAAACGATCTTCCTTATCGATTTCTGATTTATTTATTAGGAAGTTTTAATAGGCGGTGGTTTTGTCTTTTTAGAGTTGCATATATTGATTTGTGGGGATGAATTGAAATTTGACACCACTACTCCAAATAGAAATCGGAAATAATTTTCTTTTAGGAAAATTAATTATCAAAGAATAATGTAACAAAATATAAGAATTCCATAGCCAAATTTTCTGCTGAGCATCATTCAAAGCGCTCATACACACAGTTGCTTTGTCCTCCCCACTTTGTTGGGTTGATTAACTCAACTCAAAATTTTATTGGTTTTATGTGTATCAAGGAAATAGGGAAAAAGAAAAACTCCCTAAACAAGAATCCTAATCTAACTCAAACAAGTAGAAAAAAAATTAAATGATCAAAATCTTTATATTGTTCTACAAAACTGAAATCCTTATTCAAATAAAAGTTTAAGACTTAAAAGTCTTCCTCTTTCTTATCTCCAAGGCTTGTGGCCTTGCTTTTAGGCGGTAGCTTTCCGAAATATAAAACAGAGAGAGATGATGGGTTTGTCAACAAAAGCAAAGAGAGGACAGGAGAAAGAAACCGGTTGGTAGACAGAAACAGAGTAAAAAAACAGAGCAGAGGAGAGAAAATGCTTTGGGCGGTGGACGCCTAGCCCTTCGGAGATAGTTCTGTGAATTGCCCATAACCTGGGCAGTTTCATTTTGTACTGTATGTATAACCAACCAGTTGTAATTATTGCTCTGCTCGTATGTATGACTAATTATTATCGTTGCACCTTTTCCTTAGAATTTAGATACTCCATCGGGGACATTTACCTTCGATAATCCGTCAGGTATGACCAACATGTATCTTAACCCTAGCATGGTTTTTAGCATTAACCTTCTATTAATTTTCTGTCAATCCGAACACAAGGCATAGAATGGCTTTTACTTCTTTTGTCTATCTGATGTCACATATCAAAATAGTTGAACACAGAGGTACCAGATGAGGTTATGACAAATCTAATTGCCCAAAACGGAATTTCCAGGGAACTAAACTCAGCAAAAATTAAGAATATTGCTGATAAGTGTACTGCCCTGAGGTTTAAGGATTGAATACAAAGCAAAATAGTAGAGCTATACTCTAAATTATATTGTGATTTCTAGATTCAAAGAAACAACAAAAACCTGATAATAGAAATATACCAGAGTCAGCAAATTGTCAACAGTATTACGTGGTTACTGTCTCTGAGCATACAATCATTCATATAAAAGTAAGAAGAAACAACATATAACTCAAAAAGAAGTTCACACACTTAACCTTGTCTGAGTTAAAATTCTTCCACATACCACCCCACTAATCATCCCTGACATTATCATTATCGTTTGATTGGTGTAGAAAATACCAAGAATATATTTTGGTAGAAGCATACCAACTATAATCCCTGTCCCGTCACACATCAATAGTAATAGCACTTCATGGCTCCTCACGATTAAATGAGTTTAAATCACATCTTTTGGAAGAGAAAAAGAGACCATATCTGCAATTGGCTTGTCCTCCCCACTTTGTTGGGTTAATTAACTTGGAGCAAATCATGTCACCATGGCCAAGAAACAATGCTTGCTCTCCTAAATTATTCACCTTCACCCATTCCATCCTTGATAAGTCTATTCTATAAATTATCATATCATCCACTACAAAAAGTTGATCATTTGAAGCCACCAACCTAATTGAATTACCCCAACAAATGTCTAAACGAGGTGTAAATTGCAGTTCCACAAAGTTCAAATCACAAGATCTCAAGTTGAATATTCCAATCCGAGAATAATCAGTTAGAACATATATCTTGCCATCAAAAACAACTTTATCCAACAAAAGCCAACTCTTGAAACCATAGTGGTATTCTTTCCATTTTTTATCTCTATAAGTACAGAACTGCAAGCTTGTGCCATACTTACAAAGAATCATAATAAGAAAATCTTGACCTTGAGATCCAAAGGAAGCAAAGAGGCTGCGGAAGATGCCAGGGTCATGACAATCATTAATACGAGGAGGCCAGGGCATGCAAGGGAATTGGATTTGATGTCCTGTAACAGAATTTATAAGCCATAAATAACTACTCGAAACATCTTTTTTTCTCGAGACAGAGCATGATTAAGTACCCACTTGAAACACCAAGACAGAATTCGAAGTTGCAAATTTATTGAGGCAGCTTAGTCTTGTATTTCGTCTGATTAGCCATGTCAAAAACACTAACAATACTTCTTAGCTCGTGCTGATGTATAAACGACAAGAGGTGATTGAGATGTCAAAAACCTCTGCTTAAATTCTAAATAAAATAATCTCCAGCTTCTGCAAACTCGACCAAGGCTTTGAAAGTCTACCATATTCAGATCATTAGAAATAATCTCAAGAAGCTCTAGCGGAAGATCAGCCCATCATGAAGTTCTCCAATTGTGGAGCCTTCTAGCCTTCTTGGATCTTCTACTATTATCTCTTTTGAGCAATGTGTCTACAAAATCTGTCATAGTTGCAGAGTTATAACCTCATTAGCTGAAAATATATTGATTATATACAATAAAAATGTAAGATAAAAACGCAAAGTATCCAAGTCCAACATAAAGTAATAAAACATAAATCCCAATTAAGATTTCTTGAAGTTGTTATCTTAAGCATCAATATCTGATAGCCATATACATCTTTCTTAAATATGAACATCACAGCATCTGAATCATAGAGAATCACACGCATATAAGAAAGAAAACGTTGAAATTTAGTAAAATTAATCCAAATTAGTATCAAACTTGGATCAATTTAATCAAAAACAAAAGACTTTAACCCTGTATTTTCTGGTACCTCAATCATAAGCAATATTCAAAAACCCATAAGAATTATCAGATAAATAAACTAAGTAATCAAAATTCGTGATGTAAAAAGTCACCAGAACAGTTAGTTACTCATAATTCGCTCTAAATAATCACTAAGATGATGATAATTTTGGATGATTTGTAACTACGTAAGGAGTATATGGTTGAATTCCTGAAGCAGTTGACGGTGACTGCATTTTGGAGTGGTTGAAGATGACAGTGATCCTTCCTTTCTTTCACATTCGAATCCGAAATTAGGGTTTTTCGCTCTATTCAAATTTATGTTGCTGGTTATAACTTACCGGGAATAGATAGGAGGAAATTTAACTTCTCGGACCTCCCAAGTTTGCATTTAAAAAATTTACTCTAAAATATTTTGTAATTTTTTTAATTAAGAAAAGCTGACATGACACACTTAGAATTCATTAAACATATAAAACGAGTTAAAGAGAAAAGATTTAAATATATGTAGGTAATATTATAATTAACAGAAGTTTGTTTAAATTTTGAAAATTAAAAACAACCCCCACCCTTCAAAATTGTTTAATCGAGCCAAATACCCAAAAAAACGACCGACGAACACCTTTGATTTCTCTGCCATTTCCGGTGATGAAAGTGCCCTATTCTGGCAAATATTCGATCCCAAAGTTTCTTTACACAAAATCATAGCTGATATTGACAAAGAGGAGGAAAACCCAACCCTACTCCAAATCTTAGACTCCGGCGGTGATGACAGTTCAAAGGCTATCGTAGAAGACGCTCCGGTGGATCATCCGATGGGTGAAGGTGGTCCAGAGGCAGAGGAGACAATGGTGGCACAAGAACAAAGAGAAGAATCAAAAGACGGTTTTGAAGAGGAGGACGCCAACGAGAATTTAGGCGTTGGAGGAGGACGCCGGTGAAGAAAGGGTACGTTTTTTACTTGTTGTTTTGAATTTGATGAGAAATTTGATTGATTTGTGCGAATTTGAGGGATATGTAGTTGGTCTTATTATTATGGTGGTTGTGGCGTTTTGTTGAGCAGTTGGCGGACATTGCGGGAGTGACTTTGTTTGGGTTCCAGAGGATGGGGGAAGACAAGGGAGGTCGTAGAAAGGTTGTTTGTGAGAGGTTGGAGGGCTGGGGATGACAGGAGGTGGCGGAATAGGGGGGCTGGAGGGCTGCCCTGCATATTGCAGGGTTGGCCACGCACAGCGCACGTAGCCCATCCTTAGCCCTCCAACCTCATGGAATCTGCCACAACAGCCTCTATAGGGTTTGCATTGGCTTCCCTGGTCCTCTTGAGGTCAAAAACACCACTCCCTGATACCTTCGAAGCCTATATCCCCCAAATTGGCAGTCTATTGGTTGTTTTGGGTTCTTTTTTTTTTGCTGATATTTAGTTTATATTGATTATGCAGATTTTCCGAAGCGTAAATTATAAAGATTATGGATTGGAGGTTGTAAGCGATAAGGTACCATACTTCCCTATAAGGGTGATAGTTAGGTCAAGTTAGCAATTTTTTACGAGAATAATGGAGATTTTACAGGAATAGAAGAATGGTATGGACCGATTCAAAGAGAGTTGTTTCGGTCATTTTGTGAACATCGGAGAAAATTGGAAAAAGGCGTTTGCGGGACAGGAAGTGCATTATATGTTTCTACACTCAATTAAAAGCCAAAAAAAAAAAAAAATGAAATGTGGTTCATGGTGGATGGGAAGCCACTATGGTTTGGGATGATGGAATATGCCTTGATGACAGCTTAAGTGTGGGACATTTCCAAATGCGGAAAAGCAAGAGAGAATAAAGAAGAGTAGGGTAGTTGATAACTTGGCTAAAAAGGTTTTGGGGAGGAAGATGTCTATTATAGGACGCGATTTAGAGGAGAGGTTAGGAGAAGATGGGTATACCTCTTCAGAGAGGTTCAAGATGTGCCTGGTATGGTTTGTGCATTTGATTATAATGGCTTCTGACTCAACAAAAGCTGTTAATATGGATTGGGTGAAGTTTGAAGGAACATGGACTTCTTTAATGCTTATCCGTGGGGATGGGTATCATTTCAGCTAACCATGGACTCCTAGCAAGGAAAAGACATGGCGTTAAAGCAGTGCCAATCTGTGGAGAAGAATAGACTGAGCACGTACAATTTGTTTGGCTTCCCATGGGCAGTGCAGGTAAATATTAATAGCTTTTTGTTATATTTTTTTGTATTATATGTGTTTTAATTATGATATGGACTATTTTTTTACAATGTAGGTTTTGATGTGTAAGGCTGTCCCTGTCCTGGCGGGGCCGGGGGGGGGGGGGGGGGGGGGGGGGGGGGGGGGGGGGGGGGGGGGGGGGGGGGGGGGGGGGGGGGGGGGGGGGGGGGGGGGGGGGGGGGGGGGGAGGTGTGTGGGTGAGGATGAAGACTTCGGATAGTGACTGTAATTTTCTAGGATGTCACGGTGGCACATTAAGAAGTGTACTCATTGGGATTACAACAAAATAGACATGGGAATTCAAGCGGCTTGAGTAAGATTAAAGGATTAATCTTTTGAATATGCACTTGCTTTTAAATGTGGCTTAAATTTGATTGATTTTTTTTTCTTATTGTAAGAAGTCGTTTGTCCCTTCCTCACCACTACTACGGATGAAGCAGAAGAGGAGTATGTTACATCGTTCAAAGCATTGGAGAATGCAATAGCTTAAGGGATAGACCGCCTAATGCGAGACCTAGAAGGGGTCACGCATGTGAGTGCAGTTGCAAGGCCATTGCTTGAGAATGTTGTTGACGCCGAGGATGATGAAGCTCCAATCTGCAGGAGGGAGGAGGAGGAGGAGGATGAAGAGGTTCGTATGCCTCCACCCAATTGGTAAACCGGTACAACAAGTACCACTTTGCTGAGGTGTCGGGGTTGGGAGAATGAGGTGGTTGACCTCATAAATAGTCTATTTGAGAGTTTTACAACAACCGTTTATAAGAGGTTTGAGAAGATGGAAGAGCGGATGAAAATGGGGGAGGAGAAAGTTGATAGGGTGGAGGAGAAAGTTAATAGGGTGGCAGAGGAAGTTGGTGGGGGTATTGAAAGTGGTTGAAGTGCAACCTGAGCATAAAAAAGAGAACCGAAAGAGTAAGCATGTAATTTCTCCTTACAAGGCAGTAACATATGGAAAGAAGAGGAAAATGAAGAAAAAAAATGAGGAAGTCCGTGAAAGTGGAGAAGCAAAAATGGAGGAGGAGGGTAAGGAGGAAGGTGGAGGAAGTGGGGAAGTGAAAATGGAAGAGGAAGGCAGAGGAAGTGGGTAAATGAAAACAGAGGAGTTAAAGGTCGATTTGTATAGGCCAGTAGATAAGGAAAATAAAAAAATCTTCTATGCCTATTACAATGATTTTGGAAGTGATGGGCATGTGAAGTGCAAGACTGAGGATTATCCTTGGTAGTGGTTTGAAAAGATGTTGACGATGGGCAGGTGGCTCGACGACTCGGTGAGTTATTTTCCTTTATTTTTGCTTATGTTTTCCATGAGGTATTGCATACTTATCATGTTGTTTTTATTTGATGCAGCACATCGCTGATATATTGGCACTTATGAGGCTACAACAGAGTAGTAATGGTGATATTTGGTATCCGCACTGTGCCATCGCCGATGTGGCCTTTGGCCAAACGCTAGTAACTACATATGACACTTTAATGAAAAAGGTCAATGGTAGAGGTGCAATAAAGGGAGGCAAGAGGAAAAGATTGGCCACATATGACTTCAACGGTGTCCCTGATGATTTTTAGTTTGATGACAGGATGATGCAGTATGTATGGGGAGAAAGGCCCAAACATGGCAACAGTTGGACAAACGTTAAAAACGTGTATTGCATCATGAACATCAAGGATATGCATTGGATAACTGTTGTCGCGCTACTAGAGGAGAGTTTGCTGCAAATCCTTGACTGTAACCCAAGTATTTGTCGAGAGAGGCTGTTGGAGATGGAGTTGCAACCACTGTGTGTA